TTTCTGTTAACACAAGTTGTTTTGTCTGTTCTTGACATCATATAAATGGAGTCAAACAGAATTGTATAATATGTACAGTATTGTCTAACTTGTTTTGCTCAGAATGTGCAAATAAAATCTATTTAGAGGTTTTTTTTTTGTTTTTTTGATTATCTGGTCATTTGATTTTTTTTTTAAGAGATTTGTGTTTTATGTTATAAAGGAAACCTTTATTAGTTTTTTTTTTTCCTCCCCATTGCATAAGAATAGAAGTTTATGAGCTCCTTCCTTATATACAATAAAAATTGTCAAATGTTAAACGGAATTCTTAGGAGAATCAAACCACACTAAAAAGCTGAATGCAGTTAGTTTCAAAAAATAATTTAAATCCGTACCTAGATTGGAGCAAATACCTGCATCGTTCTACCCGTCTTCAGTCTATTACACATTTTTCTCTGGGCTTTCTGCTTGGCTAATGTAATCTGAAGAACTGTCTTGTACTCTTGAGAGGCACAGTCCCAAATGTCCTGGAAGTGTTTTTCTTCTTGGCACGGAATCTCGGAACTGATTGTGAGACTTTGCTATTTGCAGAGTCCAGCTTATGACACCGAGGCTTTTGATTGGTTAAATAACCGTATTAGACTATTTCCTCCATTTTTAATTGAGCCCACATAATAAAATACTGCTTTTTAATACTTTGCAATTTGACAAAGTTGCCAGAATGGCTATTCAGATACAGTTTCATCCGAAAAAATTCAGGCCAGATTGACTGTGTCAGTTTTCTGGTCAAAGGCCGTAACGACTGCCAAGTTTACTTCTAGGGTTTAAAGTACGTTGTTTATCACCCCCTTTTTATTCCTCCTTCAAAAATGAAAAGAAAATGTGTCTTTTTCCTTGGATAATTTTTCTATTGTGATGACAGTTGTTACTATGAAATTTTAAAAATTTAGAAGCATTTAGTTAATGATCACTCCAAAGTCTTGATAAGACTTAAGAAAAGATAGCCAGTGTTTTTAAATGTTTCTCATATACTTATTTGTATAAAATTCAGTTTTACAAAGATGTGACGGGCAAAAAAGATGATTTTCTAGTTCTCGTTGATTTCCAAATAATTATATTCCTTTTCAGAATTACTTCCTGTAACATATTAGTATTAACTAGCAGCAAAAAGACAGATAATCATGCGTTGACTAAAGTTATTAAAATTAATTTTCTTCTGAAACTTAAAACCACAAAGCAGAATTTTTTAATGTCTTTTTTTATGTCACAGTCTATAGCTATGAAGTAACTAGAACCAAAGACTTAGGAATAGGAGAAGGTAAAAAGACAAAAAATGAAAGGTCAGATAATCCACCCATTATAATCAGCCTCTGATTTAATAAAAAAAAGTATTTACTACTTGGGTAAATTAGGAAATTTCCAATGTTTGGTAGCAGTGGTAGACTTAACAAGTCAATTATTAAGGGGATAAGTAGCTAGATTGTTCCTCAGCTCTGGGACAAAGGTCAGGATTCTACCCAAGAGTCCTGGAAGACTCCGATCCAGCTTGAACTCAAAAGAAAATCTGATTTGAGCTCACTTCTGTCCTACTCTTGTTATTTTGCTTGATTCAAATTAATCTATAAAGGCCCTCACTTAATCTTTCTCTTTTATTTCTTGCCAACTTTGTCACTAAAAATGTAAAAATTTTTTGTTATAGATGTCTAAAAGTTAAATAATTAATTTTTTTTGGGGGGGAGGTTTTTGCTATAGGGCGCATGCGCTCGCCAGACAGAGAGAGACAGAGAGACAGAAAGCGAGAAATCACCCCCCAGGGGGGATGGTCACGCCGCAGTCCCTTCTCCTCCATTCTCCCCTCGCGGGATCTTGGGCACACACGCACACGTGCCCAGCATGAGTTTTAAGCCACCGGGTCCAGGACGCGAACCGCGGTCGAATACATGGGAGTCAGCGACATAACCATTATGCTAACTGCTGGTTCCCAAATAATTAATTTTTTAAAATGAAATACACACTACAGAATTTGCTGGTGGGATAAAATATTTATAGGTAAAACAGCTAGCCAGTTCTCGGGAACCAGCAGTTAGCATAATGGCTGTGTCGCTGGACTCCCACGTAGTCGACTGCGGCTCCCCACCCGAACCCCGTGGCCTAAAACTCACGCCCGG